GCCAGTTTGAAAGCTGCAAAGACAATATAAGTTTAGTTAATGAATCATTGGTTCAGAGCCTCCCTGCTGTGTGTAAAATATTTTACAACAATGGGTTCTATGACCATGAAGAATTTATGTAAGATTAGAGCGCTCATGGTTAAGGTGAAACAAACCTATTTGTCTTCTGTATTATATTGAGTAGCTCCCCTAAGATCATCAGGGTGCCATGACTCCACTCACTAGAATCCCAGTCATAGCTGCAGTTTGAGTCCTACCATTGATTACTTGTATGAAGATTTGTGAATAAGGGCATGATAGCGGACAGCAAAATTAATGCAGAACCGATGCTGGGAGGCCCCAACACCAGGCATTGTCCTTTCATTTCCTTGTGTGTGTAATTTTTTTTTTTTTAGTACACTGTGGATTTCTAATTAGCAAAATTGTTGAACTTAGTTTAGTTTCTGTATTTTTTTTCCTATGTTTCTTTTCTCTTGTCCTTCCCTGTTTTGGGGAGCAGGGGGCCCTGTATATACTGTGATGGAGGAGGTGCCTCTCTACCCTGGTATTTATACTTTTTTTCTCCTAAGAGCCTCTGACCATTGCCATCAGATTTAATAGCCTTTCCATGACAGCTGGCTGCTTTATAGAATTATGGACCTAGGCTGAAATCAGGTTTGAACTAATCCCTTGGCTACGCCACAAGTGTGCCATGGGTGTTGTCCCCTTGACCCCAAGGGTCAGGATCTGTGTTGCGGAAGACGCAGGGGCCCCAGCAGCAGAGCTTCTCAAGGGCCCTGGGAGCCCTCTGGCAGCCTCGCAGGCCTGACTCAGCCCGCCACCTGCTGGCTGACTCTCCACCCCTCTCCTCTCTCTCATTCTAAATGACGGCTCTTTTGGAAGGGACCATGGGATTGGGCCCGCCTCTTGCACAGGGTGTAGCCCCCTCTCCCATCCCCATCCCTGGGACAGGTCGGGGCATCTCTGCCTCTGTCTCAGCCTCACTCTAACACACGGGTAAGTCCCAACAAAAATGTCAGCCCCGGACCACTTTAAGGAGGGCCCCGATCTCACACTGTCGCTCCCAACTGCCTAGAAATCCCCCGAACTGCCCGCTCAGGCCACTCAGGTCGTGGCAGGCTCAGCAAGGCCTCCCGGGGCAGCACAGCTCGCAGCCCCAGCGCCGCAGCCCCCAGCAGCCGCAGGGCAGGCCGCCCCCGGGAGCAGAGCAGGCGAGCGGGAGCAGAGCAGGCGAGCGAGTCCCAGCAAGTGAAGGCAGTCCGGGGGGTGCCCATGTCTGCACACGCTGCTCACACAGCCAACAGTTACAGACCCCTGCAAGGTGGCCCACGCACAGGGTAGAAAAAGGCCCGTGAGTCACATGACTGAGGTCTCTGGGCTGGGGGCAGAGTGGCCTCTCAGGCAGCTCTGAAATGGCTTGAGTTTAAAAAAAAAAAAATGGATCTGGGTTTTTATTGTGGTTGCAAGATGGTTAAGAGAAAATATTCAATGATATTTGTCAAAGAGAGTAAGGCAGAATTTGTTCAGGACTACGGTGACAGGTATACAGGCCACTGTGGTGGGCTTTCACAGTGGATGAGAAATAAGATTGGGCTCCACTCCGAGAACAGCATGGGCAAGTGGGAATTTATGGCCAGAGAGCAGGTGGGGTCGATGGATAGAAAATTACTGAGAAGAGTCAGATGTTAGGGGGTTCCGGTTAAACCGACCTAAAAGGATTCTTGCTGCACACAGGCCAGGGCAACCAGACGCCCACCACGTGGTGGTGGAGGAGGAGGAACCTGGTCAGACATGGAGGGAGGTCAGATTGGACGGTGGGGCCTTCCGGTTCACCTCACTCATAGGGTTCCCGCTACAACTGGATTTTACAAGGAAGGGCAAAGCTAGGCCTGGGAGAAGGTTCAAGACCCTGACGCAGTTCGGTCAAGCAAAGGATCCTGTCCAGGGGCGGGGCCAGGGCAAGAGTTCTGCTCACAGACGGGCTTGTGTGGTTCCAGTGACGGAGGAGGGAGCCCCGGACCTTCTTATCAGCCTGTCCAGGTGCGGACACAGGGAAGGGGGAGGGGTAGCCTAAGGGGTCAGCAAACACCAAACAATAGGAGTCTGGCTGCTCTTCACAAAGACAAACATGGGTAAGAAAAATATGCATTTTCGATGGCCTGTTTTTAAGTTTAAAAAACAAAAGAAAGAAAACCACTAACAGGAGCCTCTTGAAATGATAAAAACTATATTTGGGGGTGGCTGGAGTAACATTTGTAGATGGACCAGGATATGTGGGCTGTGAGTCTTCTTAAATGAGACTTTTCTATCTTGCAGATTTATTTAAGATAGACAAAGAAATTTAAAATATACACCATGTTTTACCATCTACTAGACTTTAATTATAACTTTTTTACATAGGAAATCATTCTAGGAATTAATTCCTTTAAGCACTAATCATTACAGTAGAATAAACCATACTAATGAAAAAAAATTAAATCTCTTGCTAACTAAAAGGACAAGTTGCATCTTAGTTTGTTCTTTCCCTTAATCTCACAGGGAGGTATTTTCAGAAATAAGTAGTACATTACAATGCAATTCGGGTTTGGGTTTAGCTACTTAAACATAGTAAAATTGTTAAAGATTTACAAAAGTTTTGATTAGTTTCCTTTACATCAATTGCAAACACTGATGTAAACATAAAAAATGGACCTGAGAGCCTAAATACATTCATCTCACAGCTTGAGGTTCTCTAGCCTAAAGGTACAAAAATTCTATTAAGTTCCACTATTTATTTGCCTTACAATATCGTATCTCTCAACCAATTTACATTTTTAAGCCCAAGACACTAAAAGTGTTATTTCGCACACAGGGAATAAAATTACAAAGTGCTCGGGGAAACTAGAGGCAAAGGGCCGCACTATTCAGTGGATAAAAGATGCAAAGGAAAGAAACAAGTATTGGAATCAGCTCAGATGAGCAGCCCGCTTCCCTCAGGATAGAAGAAAAGTCCCTTTCAGAAGGTTCCACATTCTAGACCCTCCAGGTTGAGACAGGACCCCTGCAGTGGGACAGTCCCTGGGGACAAAGGGGGAGGGACCCCTGAGCAGCCCCAGGAGTGAACTCTGGGAGCTCCAACACCCTCCCCTCCCCAGGGAATATTGGACACGCTCCCTCATCTCACAGCCAGGAAACACCCGGCTGGATGCAGTGTCAGGTTCTGACCCAAATGGACTGCGAATTCACAGGCCCTAACCCAGGACACAGGCTCCTGACTTTCACAGGCTTTCTCCGCGTGCACGGATTACACTCTGAGCGCACCCACACTGTGGATGAGAAACTCCAACCTGTGTCTACAGACAGGCCCAGGGGGGCCACGACTAAAACCTCAGGAGGGGCATCACCCCCTCTCCCCCATGCGCAGGTGCACCCCCAGCTTCCCAGGGCTGTGGCTTCTCTCAGTGTAAAGAGGACCCTTCCCTGGGTGGAGGGGTGAGCAGGTAGGACACCTGCAGGGGGAGGCTCCCCAGGAAGAATAACTGGGCCTTCAAGCGCTCCCCTGTGCAGGCCCAAGGTGGACTGGGGGTGCTTAGCTTGGGTCACTGACCTCAGGGCTCTGCTGCAACTTGGAGTTGCTTTGGAACCTGGTTGATATTTTAAATGACACAAACCCAGTGTTTGAAGAATCCAGCAAAATGACTTCAAACCAGCATTTATGTGGAAAGAAAATTGAGGCACTTGTCCTAGTTCAACTAAAAACACACACAAATAACTATTCCTTTCAGGAAAAAAAAAAAAAGATGTTAATTATTATTTCCAGGGAAATTATTAGTTTTTTAAATAATTAATCAGACTTGAACACTTCTGCCCTGCAATGGAATTTTACTTGAACACACCCCAAAGTGAAAAACAGACCTCAGGCACTTACTACACAGGCTCAGGGGAAGAAAGAGTGAGAGAAGAACTCCACACAAATGGGATGTAATACTGGAAGCTTTTTCTGAAACGCTTCTTTCCTGGCTCTTCGGAGCTATTTTGTACAGTCTTTTAAACTCTAATGATTAAAAATATTTTACCCCTGTGGGAAACGTAAACTTAAATGAATGAATGAACCATGTTGACTCGGGCGGGGCAGCGCTGACAGGACACAACACCCAGGAAAATTACAAAGAGGAACGAACCTCCACGCAGAGGAGGTCTGCGCCCAGGAACGATCCTGGGGTCGGGAAACGGATACTTTTCAACGTTTTCCTGGTGGTTACTCTAGGCTTTCTCTCCTATAAACTCTCCACAACAAATATAAATCTCTGAAAATGGCTGTGGGAAAAGGATAAAATATTAGAAGAGTGGGTTTGTCTGAAATGTATCCCGGAGGACGAACCGTTCATAATGATGCCGTTGTGACTCGGAGGGGGGAAGTTGGCTTGGGAATGCGAGGAGGATTTGTATAATTAGGGGCTTCATGGCCGTCTCCGGAAAAGCTAGCCTGGGGCACAGGCTCGTGGACCTGAGAACCGCCCCCCAAACCGGGGAACAGGTTTTGTCTCCTCGGTGGCCTACTTTCCCAAGGCCTCCTCGCTCAGCTCCAGCCGTGGGGCCCGCTCGCCTGTGGGCGAGGCTACGGTCCCTGAAACCAGGCCCCATGGTTCCCAACAACAAAGAAGAAAACAGTTCCCCTTAGGAAGAAAGGAGGGACTGGACACCCCAAAGACGACCGCTCCTGCAAGCCTCGAACCCCACAGACAGAGTGACGATTGTTCCCTGATGACCCTTCCTGTGGCCACCGCGTCATCTGGGGAAACTCGGGGCTGCGGGCGCAGCATTGCCCAGCGAAGCTCCGGGGCCGAAGTGGCCACGCGCACTGAGGTGATGGGACGACCCACCGCCGGCCAGCCACGACCCCGCATGCCGCGGGGACTGAGGTCCGCAGACCCGGGAGGTGACGGCGGGGCGGCCCGCCGGCCACCGCAGGTCTGACCAGCCCACGCGTCCCGTCTCCGCCCCTGGCTCCTCACACTCACCATTTCTAGGTTTCCTGGGTCTTCCCGAGTCCTTCCTGCCACTCCACAATCACTGCAGATCACAGCGAGACAGAAGCTTTGACAGAGCCCTCGGGGACCATTAAAGATAGGCAACACTAGATTCGAAGCAATCCCGGAGCAGAAAGGGACGCGCGGGCCGGGCTGGCACAACGCCCCACCCACCTACCGGGGCTGCGCCCCTCATTAGTGTTTCAAGGCCACGCCCCACGTGCTTGACTGACAGCGAGCTGGAGGATTTTTTTTTCTCAGCAGAACAAGCCCCTGCAGGCGGACGGGAACCAGACACAGCCTGGCACAGCTGACTTGAAGCAGTTTTTCCTTGCCTGGGGCTGCCTGTGTTGTTTCCCCCAGCTCCTTGTGACTCGCCGAGGCATCGATGTGCACGGGGTATTCCTCGTTCAGTTTCCAGATGCGACGATAAATTACAGATAAGACGGTGGCCCAGGCCAGGGCTGATGGAAACCAAGGAAAGGAGTGAAGGTAGAGAAAATACAAATGGGAGTCACTTTAACCAAGCTGCTAAGTTATTAACGTTATGAAGGTTGAGACATGAGAAAACGATCTTTTTTCTTGTCTTAACTTGCCTGGGTACTTCAACTTCTGAACTTTCCAGTCCTGGATCAATACCCAGACATGTATTTACTGGCAGATAACCCTAGGGTAATCTTCCAAAGGACTCAGGAGGCCACAAGACGTCTCGGCGCCGATCCTCCAGCCCACCTGGCATCCCTCCTCCAGACCTTCTGACATCTGTCTGATAACCCTCCTGGACCAATCCTAGGACTAAGGATTCAGGATTGATTTTTCTCCACCATGTGACTTTAAGAACTCTTGGCTTTTATTTCTCCTTTGGACGCTTCTGGGATTTTGCCTCGCTGTGTTTCCAGGTCACAAACTAAAAGACTCTTGAATAAATCTTTATTATTTATTTCTAGCCAAATCCTCCTTATTCATTTACACTTGGTAGACAGAATAAGAGTGTCTTATGTCCCCTAGGGGTCAAGTGCTTGGTGGAAGGCTGTGAGGTCACTCATGGCACTGTCCTTGTTTAGAAACCTGAACCTGAATCTGACTTCATCATCTGTAACAATGTGTTCGGCTCCATTTTAATCTTTGATCCTTGACAGCATTGAGCCTTCTGCCCATCCCTTCCCCATCCCCTCTCATGTGGTCCTTTTAGTAAGAATCTCAGAGCACTCGACTCTGGTAGGAGGTTGGAACCCCGAAGCCCTAGACGGGGTGCAAGGACTCTTCTCAGTCTAACCACAGGGTGGGGGATGTGTTCATTACAGTCTCAGGTGTACAGTTTACACTGGAAGGAAATTTAATTTAGATCAGTTTTGAGATGCAGCTGGAAACTCTTTCCCTGCAGCTTTATTGAGATATAATTAACTAATAAAGATATATTTAAAGCATATATGATGGTTTCATATACATACCCTGAATTGTGTAATTGTAAACCACTAAGAAAGTGGATCATAAGAATTCTCACCACACACACACACACACACACACACACACAGAGTAACAAAGTTGATAGATGTGCTAATTAACCTGGAAGCTTTTATATGCCTAAGAGCCTGGATTCCAAAACTCTTGTGCATTGTATGTTGGTACTAAAATTTAGATGCCTATCTTTCAGGAAATTTTTGGACTATTACTACCCTTTATTGCCTTTCTCATGCTAATTTCCCTACTAAAACATGTTCATCATCGTAATTGGTGGGTTTGGAATGTATCCCAAAAATCCTTGCTTTGCAGAGCACATCGCAACTACTATGCTAGTTATTGGACTTATTTGATTTCTGCATATATTTTTATTAATCCCTTTCTATTGCCCAAATGAGGAATATAAAAGCTTTTAATATAAGAGATCAAACACCTGCTACAACAGTTGTTGCTTCCTTTTTCTTTTTAGTTTCTCCTGGAAGGATGACTGCCTAGTTCTCATATCCCAATCCCTTTTATATGGAGGAATTTTAACAAACTGTTGGGTTTTTCATTAAAAGTCTTTCTCTATTCAGGTACCTATAAATCTTTTAGATTAGAACATTTAATTATCAATTTCCCAGCATTCCTCCCCCAACTTTGAGTATTAATTGTAATATTAAACCTTCACATTAGGTGAGTCTTTTCTGGACTCCTTCTAGAACTTCTTGTCTAATCAATCGAACTTCAGAGATTTAAGAGGTAACATTTGTAACATGGAACATTAAGCCTGCCAAGCATCCCAGGTTTCAACAGTTATTTCTTTGCAACTTTTACTACTTATGCCAATATAATTTTACTCCTCTTACCTTCTTAAATGCTTACATTTTTCAGATCCTTGGTTCAATCAGTCTTGTTATCATAACTCCATGATCTGTGCCCTGTTAGGATTTATTTTTATTTGCACTTGGCAGAATTATCTATGGTGGACACATTACTTAAATCCTCATCAACTTGGAAGGTATTAGGCAGGCAGATCATTGGTTATGCCTATTTCATTACACATTTAATAAGAGACTCAGCATTGGACATCATCCTTAAATTTACATCACATATTACAACAAGAATTGCCTGATAGTGTTTCTGATAGTGAAGGAATGAGATTTTTTAAATTGATTTTGAGAGAGAGAGAGAGAAACATGTATTTTCCACTCCACTTATTTATGCATTCATTGGTTGATTCTTGCGTGTGTCCTGACCAGGGATCGAACTTGCAACCTTGGCATATAGGGATGATGCTTTAACCAACTGATGAGTTACTCGGCCAGGGCAGAAATGAGGTTTTTGAGAATTCTCTTCCATGGTAAGTTGTAAGCACAAATAAATATATGGTCAGAAATTTCTCTAGAACTTTAGGGGAAATAGCCAAATATATTGCCAAAGCAACAGCCATTGAGGAAAATGTCTTTAAATTCACTTGCTCAAGGAGTTTTATATAATAGAATTTCTCTCAATGATAAATTAGCGGCTGGGCAGAAGAAGGTGGCATCCATGCCATCACTAATATCACCCATTGTACTTGGAAAAATTCTTCAAGATTAACTGAAACACAACTACAAAAATCAGAGAAAAAGAGCAGACCTACTGGTCACAACAGGGGCTTCTAATTAGATTCCACTTGGGGAAAACTGGGATATGGCTTTATGTTTCAGAACCACAGTATTTCTATATAACTGTATGGGAAACATAATTTAAACCCAAGGACAGACCTGGTAACTCTCTCCCTTCGCTCCAAGTATGTGCATGGGATGAGGGCAGGTGAATCCCTAGAGGCTGTTTTCTCAATTAAGACAGGGCTGCAAGAAAGGCGTGTTGGGGCCTGACTCCTTCTTCCCCGATCCTTCTGCTCTTCCTAAGGAGGGTCCCCCAGTTGTGGAAAGAAGAGATGAATAGGTAAAAATCAAGGTTCGACATAGCTTAACATTTTCCTCAAACATGAAAACATTTTTTGTTATCTATTATTTTGAACATACATACATACTATTTTAAGTGTCCTTGTGAGTTTTCACAAATGCATAGTAGTAACACCACCACCAAAAGGTAGAGACCACTCCATCGTCACAAAGAGCCACTTCTGTGTGCCCATTTCTCCTAAGACCCTCTCATACAGAAGTCATGTTGACATACGAATGTCCAAACCTGTAGAGAATTTTTATGAGTTTATCTGAGCCAAACTGACAACAATAGTGCGAGGCAATACCTCAAATGCACTGGAGAGTAACAATTTTGCAGTTTTTAAAAGCATTTAAAATTAAGGAGGAATTATAAAGAAGATTACAGGAAAATGTGAGAAAGCAAGGTGAGGCTTGGATTACAGGACAGTTAACTGTGTGCTGTCCTAGGGCGGTTGCACTTGTTTCAAATGTGTACTAACCTAGATGCACAGAAACAATGGACAGGGCTTGCATAAGGCAGGGACAAACCTTTTACCAAAGAAGTTACAGGACTGTGGCCTGACTACCCACCATGACCTGCACAGTTAGGAGTTTATGATCAGATCACCCTGTGAGGTGACTTTCCATAGAACCCTCTTTCATCCATAGTCAGTGCTAAAAAGAAAAACACAGCAATGATTGCATTTCCTTTGTTCTTCAATAAAACTCAAAGCAACTATTGTTCCTTGCCCCTCTTCCATAAGATGTGCTGAAGTCCAAGCATGTGGAAATGTACCCGTGAGCAGGAAGTAGGCTTTGAGGATTTGTGCTTCCAGACACTCTTGCTCTAAACAGACATTAACATTTCCCATATACCCTCTACAGTAAATTACGAATATTACTCAAAATGATACGCTCTGTCTGCAGCTCACCTCAGTCATTCCTTGGATGTCTATCTACTTTTTTTTTCCCCCTGGATGATTACTTTCTAAATACCCATAGCTCTTTTTGGAGTTCCCTCCAAGAATCACACTGGACATACATGCATAGTTACCACCCTACTCAGAGGGTAAACTCAAGGATGGGTTAAAACAGTACAGATAAAACAGATAAGTGTAACTTTCTCTCATTGGGAGGTACTGCATGTTTTGATAAGGTATATAGTGCATCAGTCTGAATAGCAGCACAAAAAAAAATGCCAATTACATTAAAATTTAAAATACTTAAACATACATATTAAAATCCTCTCAAATAATGTTAAACACAAAAAGATACGCCAAATATCTGTGGCTTGAATCAGCGGAAGTCCCCAGTCCGAGAGGCCCATGTTGAAATACACGACTACATGTCATATGTAGAAGAGGCTTAGCAACTGCAAAAATGCACCATGTGCATGCATCTATCTTTATGAGGAATCTTTACCGTTAATCACAGAAATGAACTTTCAGTATTCTTGCCCTATATTTCTTTCCACATCCGAGCGTTGGCACAATAAAACCCTGTTTAACATGGATTACATTGTGATTTAAAACAACAACAGCAGCAGCAGCAGCATCTTGAGTTGCTGCCCAGGCACAGCACAGCGTGACAGTCCTATTCACACCCAGAGCCTTCACACTGAGGCAAGGGCCTGAGGTCAGGGTCCCACCCCAAGCTCCCAATTTGCTCCTCCCAGGGCGCCGGTTAAAATAACCACTTAGAGTAAGCCTGCGAAAAGTGCGTGACCTCCTCCCTGGCCGCCTCTGAGTAACAGGTGCCTGCTATCCTGCCTATCTTCTGCTGACGGG